ATAAAGTTCAATTAGTTAATGTTTTAGGTATCATGAACTTACAATGAAAATACATTTACAGTATTTATTTATTTATTTTGATGTTTATGCTAATTACTACATAGAGTGCCGTTCACAGGTTTGGGGTAAATAAGAATTTTTTATTTTTTTTAAAGCAATTAATACTTTCATTGAGCAAGGGTGCATTAAATTGACCAAAAGTGACAGTAAAGACATTTATAATGATACAAAAGATTTTTATTTCAAATAAATGCTGTTCATTTGAACTTTCTATTCATCAAAGTATCCTGTAAGATGTATTTCAATTGTTTTCAACATAACCATATTAGAATGATTTCTGAAGGGTCATGTAAGACTGAAGACTGGAGTAATGGATGCTGAAAATCCAGTTTTGCCATCACGGTTATAAATTATATTTTAAAATTACACTAAAAATATATTAAAATAGAAACCAGTAAACTTTGACCTTTGAACGGTAGTGTACATTAATAGTATTAATAGTTGTATAAATTAACAGTGTATTATAACAAACATAAATTAACAATGAACAAAAGTATAATTATAAACTTTAACAAATTAATTAATAAATGCTTTAAGAAGATGTTGTTCTTCATGATAATGCATTCACTAAATGTTTACAAATTAAACCTTGTGTAAGTGTTACAATTATTATAATTTATTACTACATGTTTCGGTAACACTTTACAATAAGGTTCCATCAGTTGATGTTAGTTAATGTATTAACTAACATTAACGAACGATGAACAATACATTTATTACAGTATTTAATAATCTTTGTTAATGTTAGTTAATGAAAATACAGTCGTTCATCGTTAGTTCATGTTAATTCACAGTGCATTAACTAATGTATAACAAGCACAACTTTTGATTTTAATAACGCATTAGTAAATGTTGAAATTAACATTAGCAAAGATTAATAAATGCTGTAGAAGTATTGTTCATGCTTAGTTCATGTTAACTAAAGTAGTTAACTAATGTTAACTAATGAACCTTATTGTAAAGTGTTACCCATGTTTCTTTAATACTTCATTATGATTGGTCAGTGTATATTTGATTGTTGTCACTGATAACCAGTCTCCTATTCTGTGCTAGTTCCATGTCTTCTCAAGTTATCAAATATTATTTATTATTATTATTATTATTTATTTATTTGGTAATAACCATCTGTACATTATCCTTTACTTAAAGTGATGCACTTTATTAAAACTTTCCCACTATGTTTTCATATAATGATTCGTGGCTAATTATTTTTGTTTATAAAGAGATTTTGGTTTATTATAGAGAGTTTATGTGTTGTTTTTCTGCAGTTGTCACTGCGATAGGTACGTGTCAGCGGAGGAGCTATGTAACTCTTCATGTGTGTCCAAACTGCCGGTGCTTTCTGCCAGGCTGGATACAGACGGACAGCTACTGTTGAGAATCAAAGCCGCAGATGAAAGCAAAACCTGGAGCAGGGTGAGATCTGGACCTGTTAAAAAGACAATTCATTGTTATGTACCAGATTTGATACTGTGCTTATTGATGTGAACTCATACTAAATATAACATTGTTTCATTTTTCTCTCAGAATATGATAAATGTATTAGGACCTGATGCTCACGTCAAGAACATTGGAAGGATCCACTTTGTCCAGTTTGCTCCCGAGGGAGTGTTTGGTTGGATTTTAAAAGACCCTGTGCTCATTGACTCTTTAGTAAGAGGTAAGCTGCCAGTGTTAATCTGAACTCCAGACTCAAACATTTTGCAAATAAACAAATAACTTAACAAATAAATTAATAATTGCTGTAAAAAAAGCTGTTTATTTGTCCATTGAACCTAATGCGTTAACTGATGTTAACAAACTGAACTTTATTGTAAGTATTACAATTATTATACATTTTACTATACAGCCCTCTGTAATACTTAATTCTGATTGGTCCGTGTATAGTTGATGATTGTCACTGATTTTCTATTCTTTCTATTTCCTATTCTGTGCTAGTTCTATGACACTGCATTCTCAAGGCATCAAATACATTTTAGATCAATATTTCACATTAATTTATTAGTTTTACAGTCAAGTGGGCATTAACACAAAACAAACCCCTTCAAGATGGTGCAAGAGTTTATTTTGTGATAATGACTGTCGAACTGTACATTGTGCCTTACATAATCTGTACTTCATTAAAACATTAAAGCTTGCAGTATTTCCTTTCAGAACCTGTTGAAATTCTGGAGAAAGATTTCAGGAAGAGACGACATGCTGATCAAAATGAGGTTTCTGAGCCTTTTCCATGGATCCCAAATCCCATAGCATGTCTGTCCCCAAACGACATGCTCATCTTTCAGCTCACTATCAACCACACCGGTATGGCTTTGTCAAATACAGTGCTAATAATGAATATGCCTAGTGGAATGTATGTTTCATGTCATTCTGTGAATTTAGACCGCCACCACAGTCACTTCCCAGTGTACCAGAAGGACCACCTGTTCAGCAGTAACCCTGGCTGGGATTTTGGGGCATTTAGACGTCTGCAGCATCTTGTCAAACACACGAGGCTAAATTCCAGCAGGTAAGACTAGATCGGTATATCACATGTAGCTTTTAGCACAGATATACAGCTGATCTTCATGTGATTTATCTTATTAGATTTGCGCATGTGTTCATGGAGTCGGGAAAGTATGTGTTTCTGGATAGCGCCGTGCCGGACTGGAGTCTGATAGTGGTCGTGAGTGAACAGGGCTCTGAGTGCAATCCCACAATGGCTGCGTTCCAGCCCACGACTCCCGCACAGCTAGTCCGACACGGGATTGTTAAACAACACAGCTTAAACCTGCTTCCAGACTGGGGGCTTATCACAGGTGAGTCAACAATAAATAGCATGCATTTGAAATAGAAAGTGGCATTTTTCTTGCTAACAGGAATGGTTAAAATACTGTGCTTTGTGTTTTTCCATAGGGATCTTGTCTCTGTTGGTTTTGTTGATAATAGTGTTGACAGCCTCTGCTCTTGTCTTGAGGCCTAATCGGTCCAGCCTCATCGCTCAAAGGAGGCCAAAGCCCAAGTGGCGCAGCTTGGGTGAACCCAGTGTTCCTATTGAATATGTTTATAATACAGACAGGTAAGTGAACTTAGGTAAGGTTCCTTGTAAGGTTTCTTGGTGTTTGTTACAGGTATATTCACCAGAACAAGCAGTTTGAGGCAAGAATGCACTGATATTTCCATCCTGTATATATATATATATATTTTTTTTTTCTTTTTTCTTTTGCGTAGTGTCTGATAACTGATAAATGGATAGTACAATTATATATTATTTAGTCTAAAATCAAATAAAAAATAAAACACTAAAAACTGAAATCAGTAATTTTACATGTTGAATAAAAGTGAATTTGGGCATTACAAAATTATAGTGTACAGTAGGCAACCACATGTGACGACCCCGGGCTGGACTCCGCTTCGTCCACGGTGAAAACCGATCCGGTGATCCACAGCGCGAAGTTGATGTATTTCCTCAGCGACCAGCACGGATCAGCTCCAGGCATGACGAAGCGGATATCGTCCTCTTTTGGAAGACCAAACAAAGTAGTTTCGCGTGTTAGAACGAGCCATTTTAGGTAGGTGTGGCTGACTCTTAACTTTTATAAAGAATATCTCTTTGGATTGGAGACTTTAGTCTTTGCAACTTTACAGATCTTCTTTATGCACCAAGAGCTTGTAACACTTCAAAGAGAAAGGAAAAATTGAAATCGCATCATATGACCCCTTTAAGTGAGCATCAGATAAGAGCAATGATAAAGTGAATGTAAAAATTTTAGAAATAAGCATGTACAATTAAAATATCAAATATTAACCAATATACACAATCATTCAAAAGTTTGGGGTCAGTAAGTTTTTGTGTGTGTGTGTGTGTGTGTGTGTTTGAAGTCTCTTCTGATCACTAAGCCTGCATTTATTTGATTTAAAAAAATACAGTACAACAGTAATATTGTGAAATATTATTACAATTTAAAATAACTGTTTTCTATTGTAATAATGTATTCCTGTGATGGCAAAGCTGAATTTTCAGCAGCCATTACTGCAGTCTTCAGTGTCACATGATGCTTCAGAAATCATTCTAAAATGCTGATTTGCTGCTTAAGAAACATTTCTAATTATCATCAATGTTGAAAACGGTTGTGCTGCTTCATATCTTCTTACAAACCTTGATACATTATCAGATCTCGAAATGAATATCCATTTTTCATGTTGTACATTATAATGTTGTGATGCAAGGCAAGGCAATTTTATTTCTAGAGTACATTTAAAGAGTACAGCTGCTGACCAAAGTGCTGTACAACCTAAAAATTGTTACACAAAACAGTCAAGCACAGTTACATAAACGTACACATTAAAGAGACTTACAATGATCGAAAAGCCAGAGAGAAGACAAACTAATAACTCATTCCACAATCGAGGGGCAGCAATTGAAAAGGCACAATCTCATTTTAAGCTTAGACGAGACCGAGGCACAGACAACATCAAACTATTAGAAGACCTTAATGGTCTAGGGCAATTCCGATGGAGAAGAAGATCTGTAATGTATTCAGGAGCCTGACCATTTAATCCCTTGTAGACAAGCAATAAAACCTTACATTTAATGCAATGCCTACAATACATTCACTTGCAGCATTTAAAGCAATCTATAGCATAATGAGATGGTGCAGTTTTGAGTGTACTTTGTGTTGTGTTGTAGGGTGGATGGCTCTGAGCCACTAGGTCTGAGAGGGATGGGAGAGGGAGCAGAATCAGAGGAACCTGCTGTTTGCAAAGGAGGTAACTGACAATCATCTGAAATGTTTGACAGCTGATGAATATACAAAAAACTCCTCTGAATTCTGTCAAATCCCACATTGATGTGAAGGTTTCAGAACGACACTAATGGAGCTGGAAGAGTTTAATGTGAAAACGCTGTATGACAAGTTAGAGGATCAGAATTTACATCTGGCATCCCAGCTGGCAAAGCACCGCAAAGACACCCAGGAGTTTTACAGGAACATGTGCCAGCAAATTGATGTTCTGAGGGTAGGACGGAAACTGAAGATAAGAAATGCATTAAAAAAATGGCAAATGACACGATCAGTCTCTGTAACTAATCAGCTTGTGCATCTTTTATTTAGGACACACTGGAAAATATGGAACCCTCAAAACTGAACCAGCTGAAAAAAATACTAGACAATGAAGTTCTGATGAAAAGAGAAACTGCTCATGGTGAGACAGCAGTTTGCTTTAACTTGAGCCTTACATGTGTGTATACACTCAGGTCTGTGTAAGTATTTGTGTTTGCACCAGAGCCGTGGATGGGGCTGATGGAGGTCGTGCTGAGATCTTTGGAGGGAGTGCTGTGCAGGATGAATGGGGAGGTCTGGCAGCAACAGGACAGCACAGCTACAAACAGCCACAGAGACACTCGAGAGAGTGAACTTCACACTGGATGCATTCAGGTTACTTATTTAAACCCATTAAAACAACACAGAGCCATGGATAAGTAATGAATGTACATAGTAGTGATATTAAAAGGATAATTCAGTAAAAAATTTAAATTGTCATTATTTAGGCATGTTTTAAAATGATTTTATCATTTTATGATCAGATCATATTATATTTTTAATCATAAAAGTGGTCCATTTGGTGTAATGTTTGATGCGCTCTTGAGTTGTTATTGTTAACTAGGCCCCACTTTATATTAAGTGGCCTTAACTACTATGTACTTACATCAAAAATCAAGTACAATGTACTTACTGTGTTCATATTGTATTGCAAAACACTTTTGCTGCTATTGAGGTGGGATACAGGTTAGGGACAGGTTTAAGGGTGGGTTAAGGTGTAAGGGATGGGTCAACTGTAATTATAAATGTAATTACAGGAATCAATTACAGATGTAATTACATGCAGGTATTTTTAAAATATAAGTACAATGTAAAAACATGTATGTACACAATAAGTGGATTGTACCAAATTATTAATTTAAATGTAAGTACTTAGTTGTTATGGCCACTTAATATAAAGTGGGTCCGTTAACTAAAACCATTAAATATTTGTTTTGTTAATTGACATAAATCTGAAATAAAATGTAAATAAAAAATAAAATAAACTGGAGGAAAAATTTGAAATGTTGCCTTACCATCTAACCAAAAAAAAAAAGTCATAACAAAATCACTAAAACTAAAATGAAATAAAAGTTTAAAGTGCCCCTATTGTGTCATTTCGAATATTGCCCTTTCATGCAGTGTGTAATATAGCTGTCTGTGAATGTAAACTATCTGCAAAGTTATTGTCTCTCAAAAAAAAAGAATTGACTCTGAATCCCCCAAACGAGTCGTCAGGAATCCGAATCCCACTTCCGTGATGGCTACACATCACTGAGTATTACATTTGCATAATGCCCACCTATGTTCTACATTGGCCGGCCGTGAACAACTTGACCCGCCCTCAAACACTGTAGCTTCATGTGGTTAACATCATGTCAAGTAGATTAGTTTTATTTTCACTTCCGAATGATGAGGAATTAAATGCATATTATGAGAAAACGAAAGTGTTTTTTGACCTTGCATGCATGTAAACCTATTGTAGGAGCCTCCCAAAACAATATTAGGAACCTTAAAAATTTTGTGCGCATGTGCAGTCATAAGATAGAGTCTCAGGTTTCTATGGGAACCGGAGCTTCTAACGCAGCTGCAGTGACGCAATGACTTTAACAATCAGCGACTGGCTCTTTCATTTAGAAGGCGGGACATATTCCACCATATTGCCCGTTGCCGTTTCTCCCATTCATAATAGAGTGAACCGTCTTTGTATATTTATAGTCTTTGATCTAATATGGATGCATCAGCTTACAGCTGTGAGTACATAATGACAGATTTTTATTTTTTGGTGAACTATTCCATTAAGTATTTCATTATTGTTTTACAGTTTTCCCCTGCAGATATGTCAGAGTTTAAAGTGAGTGCAGATACAGAGGCAGCTTCCTCAGACCCAGGTTCGACCTTGTTAAAATCCAGTTTGTAGTCTTTGACCCAAGGCTCCTGCTATGCTAACAGTACATGCTCTCATCTGTCAGGTCAACAGCAGAGCACCATCCCCTGCGTGAGTGAAGAGGAACTGGCCAAGTTTGTGTCTCTGACACCTCTGTCCAAAACACTGCAGGAGATAAAGGAATCACTCCAGACTCTCGCCCACACGCCCAAGACAGAGGACGGTCGGTACACATTTGTGCATTTGGATTCAGTGAGCTAAAGTTGCAATGCACTTTTAATGAATTAAGTTGATACATAACAATTAAAAATATAATATAATGACCTACATCTTCTTTCTTCTCCTTCAGTAATTATCAGCCCAGCAGAGAGTGAACTGTCGCACCTGATCCCTGTTGCCCTTGACAACCTTTCCCCACAGCATTTCGCTGTCTTCCTGTTTGGCTGCCATGTTGTGCGTTTACTGAGCAGAGCTTTTTCCTTCCCCCCTGTCATGCTGCTCTTGGCCAGGACAGTGCCAGTCTCTCACTGTGATAACCTGCTGGCCTACTGCCATAAAGACTTTTATTATGACACAGCCAATCAAATTCTGTACATCCTAGAGAAGAAGCTTCAAAACGCTGGCCAGTTCATCTCCATTCTCTTACACTCAATGGCCTACATAACCTCAGGTAAGAGAGATTGCCCTAGCCTTCCCTAAATAGTTGTTTACTGTAGTCAAAGATGTCTACAGCTATTTTCATAATCTAACAAGGCAAGTCACTTAAGGACAAAGTTTGTTTTGAAAGAAGTCTCTTATGCTCACATCACTTTTATTTGATCAAAAATACAGTAAAACTGTTATATTAATATTATTACAATTTAAAACAACCGTTTTCTATTTTAATATATTTTAGAATGTAAGCTAATCATATCTATTATATATATCTGAATTTATTTGAAATAGATTTTATTTTACAAAGTAAAAGTCTTTACTGTGACTTTTCATCAATTTAATTTATCCTTGCTGACTAAAAGTATTAGTTTATTAAAAAATCTTACTGACCCCAAACTTTTAAACAGTAGTGTATAATACATAAAAGGTACTAGACAAAATAAGACAATTAAAATATAAATATTTTAATTGTCAGCCAAATTAAAAGCAAAACAACCTTAAACATTTTTCTTTTGGCATTTCCTTCTTTTATAGGCTCAGAATCTCTTGAATTCATAAAAGCCTTCCACTTGGCTGTATCGGCATTAAGCATGCAGTTGTTTCATCACTCTTTCACTGAGGACCAGAGGAAAGGAAAGGTAAGGCACTGTTTGAAATATATATATATACTGTATATGAAATCCAGGAAGAGCTAAAACAGGCTTTCGCTCACATGTTAGATGATTGATGAAAACACACAGAAGGCCTTTGGAACATTAGTAGAGGACTTCTTCACTGTAAAAATACCCACTGAAACCCATTTTGCTGAGCACCTGCTGGCAGAGAGGTTAGTACTAAGATGTTTTTGACATTAAAAATATATTAAAACATTCAAAGAACATTCACTTCAATGGATTTTAGACTTCAAGTATATAAATACTTCAAGTTGGAACAGCTTCTCCAGGAACTAAAACCAACCCTGAAAGACAGACATGGAGATGGTAAGAGATTTTAGAGCAGTTTTTTAACGGAAAACATTCTTAGCCTAGCAGGCACCTGAGCACTGGTACAATTTTTGGGGTCTTTTGTTTATATTGTTGCAGGACGAGGGCAAACTGGCCTAAAGACTCAAGTCCCAGTGAGTGAAAGCACTTTTTGTGTTGTGTTGTGTTTTATTTATTCTGAGGAGTGTACGCCTATGGAAATATATCCTCTTTTTCATCTACCTGTGCTTCAGGTGCTGTGTGTGGAAAGAGAAATAAACAGACTTGATGAAGTTTACCAGCAGCTCTCCTCTGAACTCCCCAGGGCAACACACATACGCAGCCCACCGGAGAAGAAAGAGTCCAGGTTTGACAAACCGCTTCAGGTAACAGCCAGTCTGACTCACCTTATGCTGGTGTACAGGAGACCCCTATACAGCCCCCACGATATTGCGGAAGGGACAAATGCATTTAAATTGTAAAATGTATTTCTCATTCTTTCTGTCTGTGTCTCTCACGCTCCCCATGCTTGCAGGAGCAGCAGATGATGCTGGAGCTGCAGAAGTGTACGGTGGATCAGAGACTGAAGGAGATGAGAGACAGACTTTCTAAACTGAGCTCAAGCCAGCGAGCGAGTCCTAATGAAGACAGACCAGCTCACGGCACAGTCCTGGCTCAGGAAGACAGCCAGACACACAGCAAACGCAAACCAGACAGCGGAGGACCAGAGAAACAGACACCTGCTGCAGGACAGTCCAGCAACAAGAAAAAGCAAAGCAAGCATATGGACAAAGATGAGGAAAAGGGTGTGACTGCGTGAGGAATAATGTTTGAAAACAGTGATTATTATAAAAATACAAAAATGTCTCCTCGCTTGTCACGTGTTGATTTTATGGCTATTTGTGACAAAAATTCACATGGAGGAGATGGCTGTAACATTTAACACCTCTGGTTTGGAAGCAGTGTTATGCTAAACAACTTAGCAAATGTAGTCATAACCTTAAAACTGTGAATCTTTATTTTATTCTTTATACCTGTCAGACTCAGTGTACTGCTACTGAAGTAGATGCAGTGTTTGCAAGGCCCTCATACAGAATAATACTCTCACTTTCAGACTTTGTTTTGTAGATGTTTAGATTTTTTCCCTAAATGTGCCATTCATTTTTAATGCTCATGAACTTTATGCTTTTGAGAAAAGTAGCATTTAAAGTTTTAAAATCCTCTACTGACACTGATGTAATATCATTTTCATTTTTGACTAATAATAATAATAATAATAATATATTAATTGATTAATTAGCTATTATTATTATCACTACAACTAATATAAATAACAGCTACAACAATAGATAAACAACAAAATCATAATAATAATGACAATTACTGTTATCATTGTTAAGAACAACAACAACAACTATTATTATTATTGTTGGTGTTGTTGTAGTGACAACAACAATAATAATGGTCATTGTTATTACTGTTGTTGTTGTTGTTGTTATCATTATCCTTGCAACTAATATAAATAATAGCAACAACAATGCCAATTATTTTTGTTCTTTTTCATAAAAATAATACTAATTATTATTATTGTAGTCACTGGGAAACATTCTGAGATGATCTAGTCACTCTGTTGAGCTTGAACTTATCTTTGTTTGAGCTCAAATTGACCGCTAGTGAGATTGTGAAATTTTGCAATTTTTAAAAATGTAATTTAAATGTAATATAGTTTCTTCGTTACAAATTACATTATCGTAACAGTTTGAGTTTGCAATTGAAATATTATTAGATTTTGTTTTAAGATTTAAGATTTTAAGATTTAGAAATTTGCTTATTTAATAGTGGCTTAAGATGTATTTTATAGTTTATAAATATTTATTCTTCATTGTTTAATTATTATATTATATTAATATTAAGTATTTATTATTAATATTAGCACTACAACTAATATAAATAACAGCTACAACAAAAATAGTAAACAAACAACAAAATCATAATAATAATAATGACAATTATTATTATCATTGTTGTTGTTAAGTACAACAACTATTATTATTATTATTATTGTAGTGACAACAACAACAATAATGGTCATTGTCATTACTGTTGTTGTTATTATTATTATTATTATTATTATGTTATTATTATCCCTGCAACTAATATAACAGCAGCAACAACGACAATGGCCATTATTTTTGTTGTTTTTTAATAAAAATAATAGTAATTATTATTATTGTAGTGACGACAACAACAACAACAATAATAATTAGTAGTAGTAGTAGTATTTGTGCATATCAATCTGTTTGAGTTTACTTATTAGTATAACAAAAACTTTTGCGACTTAGCAAGCACTGTATTTCCGTCAGGAAATGCAAATGTAGTTGCTTTGGCTTTGCTGTTGTTCTGAGTGAATGTTTGTTTAATATACATTATTTATGAACAGGTTGTCACGCTGTATTTCTGGAGGAGATATGATCATGCCTATTTCTGTCCTGGCTTCTCTTCCGTGGGGCATCAACACAAGATATGTGAATATATATGTATATGGCTCAGAGGTGGTCTTATTCAAATAACTAGCTATCTACATAGAAACCGGCTGCAAACTGAAACAGCTCGCTGGATGACACAGTTTCAGACTCAGACAGCCCATAACGAACTGGCTGCGTGATTTCTTTTCTTTTCTTTTCTGCTAAGCTGACAGACATGCCAGAAACCCAAGTAAATGCAAAAAAAAAAAGCCAAAACATTTAATCCGATGTCCCCTTTAAGACTGTAAAATTCAGAAATTTGCTTATTTGATTGGTGACCTAGAATTGATTTATTCTTCATTTTATGACATACCATTTTGTGTTTTCAATTTATAAATATCCTAAAACTTTTTTTTTTTTTTCAGTTTTAAATTTGGAACCCCAGATTTTGAATGAAATCTCAAACGTTTGGACTATAAGTTTAGAGAACACTTTCATTTTATTATTTCTTATTATATTATATTATATTATATTTTATATAAAAAAAAGAGATGAGCTTTTATTTATTCATACAAATATTCATGGACTGAAACTAATAAACAGACTCACATGGTTTCATCCTCCACTGCTGGATGAAAGCATTACACTGGCCTGCTCTCTCATTTTGCATTGCTGTTGCCATGGTTTCCCTGCATCGTGGGTATAGCAACCAGCAGGCCTGCCATTTTTAGTCTGTGCTGAGACCAAGCCTGCTGGCAACATCTCCCTCGATAAACACTTCTGCTATTGAATTACAGCTCTTGTAATTGTTTCATTGAGAGTCGGAACAGAAAGCATTGGAAAGCATCTGGCACGACTGCACTGGAAACAAATGGTCTCTGTGCTGTGTAGAAATAATTTCTAGGTCTGTGAGCCATGTGTTCTTCTCTTCCTGTGAGGTCGGCATAATAAAGCACCCATAATCCCAATGATGAAATCTGTAATCCTTAACTCTGAGCTTCACTGGGTTACCATTACTACTTTAGCAAGATTAAATCGTTGACTTTCTCATTGTAAGACTAGACACAAATCTTACGTTTATGTTAGCATCCAAACATGGATCTAATCCCAACAAATTATCCCTCCCAACGGTACCATACGGAAGAGGAATCCATTTGATCTGTATAGAAAAGCAAGATGGGTGTAAATGTACACTGTTGCATATGGCTAAGCCATTGGGTGCATAAACATATAGCATTTGCATATGCATTTCAAACCGAATGGATTACTGGAGTGTTGGAAAAATGTTTATCCCAATTCTCAGATGTTTTCCATTACGTGTTTGTCCTTATGTGCACTATTTACATATGCTGCTAGTCATGTGACTGAAAGCATTTGAACTTAAAGGAATAGTTCACCTGAAAATTTAAATTGGTTGAAAATGTACTCTCTCGGGCCATCCAAGATGTAGATGAGTTTGTTTCTTCATCAGAACAGGTTTGGAGAAATTTAGCATTACATCACTTGCTCGCCAATGAATCCTGAGCAGTGAATGGGTTGTCCATATGCCAGTCCATAATCCATAATAATACTTACTCCAATGGAAAAAGTCCATCCCCTGTTGTTCTCTCACATCAAAATCAACTTACATATTTGTGTAGAACTGTTTTGGACTATTTTTTGCTTGAATCTTTATCTGTGCATATTTCTCTCATGATTTAGACAAGATTACTTTTTTACTAAGCAATATTATGGATATAGTACTCATGTTAGAAATGTCTAAATGATGGATTTGTTTCTTACAAACACGCAGCATCAAAATTTATTTTGATGTTTTTATCAGTTGTTTGGACTCTCATTCTGAAGGCACCCATTCACTGCAGAGGATCCATTGGTGAGCAAGTGATGTAATGCTAACAAACTCATCTACATCCTGGATGGCCTGAGGGTGAGTACATTTTCAGCAAATTTTCATTTTTTTGTCAAACTATTCCTTGTACAGCCATGCAATCTACAAGTTTTGTGCTGTAATTTTGTGATCTTATTTGAACATATGCCACTTTTTTTTTTTTTAGCTCAAAATGCCATTTTGCATTTGTCAGTTTCTTCAACAGTCATCATCCATGTGGTGACTGCAAACTGGAAATGTTAGATTTGGTGTGACTCATGTAATAATTGCAGTAATTGCGATGAAGCTGCTTCCCCGACCACGCATAGGTTAAGTAGGACCAGCATTTGGGTTTAAATTATGAAATGCTGTTCTCGAGCAGAGACAATTGAAGCCTACAGATGCACACAGCTCATGATGTACTGTTCTCGCTGGGGTTGATGGATGTTGTTTATGAGGGAAGAAGAGACAAGAACTGGTGACTGAAGGATGGATGCTAGTGTACAACTCAGTGATCTGTGTTAAAGTTGTGGGCTCTGACGAAACTTCGGCTTCATATCTGTCTCCTTCTGTTGTGTAAGTTGCCAGGACATGAGGACTCCACTGCCACCTATAAACAAATCACTTATTAGGCATCGGCCTTGAATAGAACTATTCAGTATAGGGGAGATTGGGCTAATCACACTTTTTAGATCAGTTAATACTTTTTAAGGTGGGTTCATTCTTGAAGGTCAATTTTTGTGTAGACGCAAAGTATTGACTACAATACTTAACATATCCACTGACACTGTCCAGAAAAAAAAATGTACAGTTCATTGAAAAATATAAATAATATATAATAAAAATAGCTGGGGAATGTTGTCATACTGTAAGTTGTCACAATGAAACCTGCCATTAAACATCCTATAATATGCTTGTCAGCAACA